TTTGTTTGACTTATGTGTCGGGCCCGGTCAGGACTGAGTTGACGTGTTCAATTAAGTTCTATGTCAGACAAATCAGAGATCGAGAAACAAACTGCTGGACAATAAGTATGACTATGTTTCATGTTTTTGTCCACACGATATCTTGAGAACGGAGGACTATACAATCCCTTATCTACAGGACATGTCAGAGTTCGACAGCGACTTTTGAGAGCTACGATTGCTAATTGGATTTTGAAGTCGTACTTGCATTTATAGTTATTAGACTTATCCAGGTGGGAGACTTTTGGATTAGGTGTCTAAGCCCATAACTATATTTGGTATGTACTTGACCCGGGAATAGCATGGTCCTTTTGGGTTGCCTTCACCAAAGCAACTTGACTGGATGAATAATTGAGAAAGAGGATAAAAGTGATTTATTAATATATTATATGAATAATATATTAAAAGAGAAATCATATTATTTAATTAACATTGGTCTAGAATTAATTTAGAATTAATTTTGTGGTCAAAAGAGGTTAATTAAATTATCGGGACTGATACTGTAATTATGAGATAGTTACAAAGTTGGGCTTAGGATCCATAAGGAAGCAATTGATGAATTCTAGGTGGGAGTCCACATAGAAATCGACCAAGGGGCCTTCTGGAAGGATCCTTTGGTTGCTTAAGGACTAAGCAATTGGATTAGGGTTTTGACTGAAACCCTAATTGCTAAGCTATATAAGGAACCCTTGTGATAGCTAAAATCGGCCACTGAACCCTAAGAAGGATTGCTAGCCGACTTTTGAGCCTCCTCCATCTCTCTCTTGCATTCTCCAAGTGCTTTGGTGTTTGTGATCTACTAGAGGCACCACATTTGAGGTGCTAGATTCTCAAAAGCTCAATATCATCAAGCTACAATCAAAGGTAATATCTTAACTCTTCATTAGATGTAGATTTCGATTTTTTTGTATGCTAGATTAGGGTTTACAAGCTTTGGAAGATTATTGCATGTACAAATAGAAAAACTAGATCCAAAGCATTAGGGTTTGCATGTGCACCATAGGATTGATATTTTGCTCATATCCCAACACCTTCAAGAGATATAGTATGCATGTTTATAACATGGCATGACTGATGTTATTTAATTCAAGTGGCTTTCAAAAGCACACGTTGTTGTTTAGTTCAAAATCTATACTTGCAATTGTAGTTATAGACTTATCCAAGTGGAAGACTATTGGATTAAGGTGTCTAAGCTAATAACTAAATTGGCATATATTCTTGAATTAGAAGCAAAGTCCTATTTAGGTTTCCATCATAACTAGTAACTGAATATAATGACTTTTAGAGAGAGAGAGAGGTTAATTTGTTGATATATTATTTGATTAATAAATTAATTAGAAATTTAAATACATGACCCAATATATTATATAATTAATATATTAATTTGAAATAGTAATAATTAATTAAATTTCGGGTTAATTAGAATTAATTGGAAGTATAAGGACTTGAGCTGTAATTGTTCAATAGTTGTACAAGAGAGAATTCCAGAACCTTCCTAACCATGGATGATTTTGACAGGGATCTTTAAGGTTTCTTGAATATTCCTTATAGATAAATAAGGAGGTAGATAATTACCTAATTGAAGATATTGTTATTATACTCAAATTGGGTTATCCAATGCTTCATGTATCAGCTCTAAATAGACCCCTTGGGCTATTGATTTTCATGCACTACTCCTTACTCTCATAGAGCCGAAATTTTTCTCTTGCCTCCTCTCTCCTCAAATCTTCTAGTTACTAGGGTTTTGGGTACAACCCATTAGAGGCACTAAGCTTTAGCTGCTTCTTTGCCAAAGAACTTCAAGAGGATTTTGGTGTGATTATTTGCTACAATATTCAAAAGGTATCTATATGAATTTCAATTTTCATAGTCTTTCCCTAGGGTTTCTTGATGTTCATATATAATTGCTATCAATAGAGAAAACATCGATCTATTCTAAGTTGCATGTGAACTTAAGGGTTAAGTGTTTTTCCGCTACAATAGAGAAAACATAACAATTATGATGATATCGAGCTCATTTTTACGTAAAATTTTTAATACAATGTGTTATGAACGATAAATTATTAATAAATTAGTTTAAATATTTTAGTAAGTCATAGAAAAAAGATTTTAATGGACAAGTTGATAAATGAAATGTCTACCATTATCATTATTTACATTTTAAATCAACGGAGAGAACTAGAAACAAAACTTAAATAAATTACTAGAATCGAATATCATTGTATTTCTGTTAATAAAATACATGATAAAAGGATTTTCTTTTTTTTTCAACTTTTTTTTTAAATTTAAATTCTTTTAACATATTTCAATAGTTTTTAAAGTAAATTGTGAACCAAAAAAAAACTTATAGATAGATCTCTAACATCACATCAATTAGATAGCTTTTTGGTAATGGTTTATGTGTAATAAAACTTGCATAAGTTATGAACAAAGATGGTGCCGATTTGGTTAGAGCACGCCTCAAATATGGTGAAATACCTGGAGGTCTTGCGTTTGTATCCTGGGGATCAAAAACCCCTTTGTGACCACATAGATTCATCCGCGATGAGTCCGACCTACTCGGGAAACAAGTAATCGCCCTATTCTTAGTGGGCTTGTATAGCATGTTGTAAACCTTGGCTCCTACAAGCTCAAAAAATAAAAAAAATAAAAAAAAAAAAACCATAACCATAATTATATTTTTAAACAAAGTCAAAAGCATTCTTTTATTTTGAAAAAAAAAACGTACTAATGTATTTAAAGCAACACAATTATATATTAATGTATTCAAAAACGACAAGGTAAGTATATTTTTAACACAAAACTACAACAAACTTTTCTTTTACTCCACATAATTTCTTTCTAACCTAACACAACTTTTAGTTAAACGAAAAATAGTTTTCCAAAATAACACTAATCGTTGTCGCAATAGAAACTGATCCCATTGTTCACTTGGAAGAAACCAATGAGAAATAACAAGCATAGATAGATGAAACAACTCGCCAAAAAAACATATTCGTTGAAACGAAACAAAGCGCCGAAAGAACATAATCGACGAAAAGAATGTAATCTACGAAACAAAAAAAACGTGTCAAAAAGAACATAATCATTGATACGAAACAACACATTGAAAGAAGCATAATCACTGAAAAAAACGTAATCACCGAAACGAAACAATTTGCTTAAAAAACTATTATATGCAGCTGCATCATGCAGGTATACTACTAGTGTGTGTGTGTGTATATATATATATATATATATATATATATATATATATATATATAATGGCAGTACAATCCATGCCAAAGTGTCCTGTCTTGCCGCACTTATAGCAGCCCGAACCACCCACCCTGCAGACTCTGTCATGCATCTTGTCGCACTTGCTACAGCCACCCCGACCCTGTTGGCCCCTCAACTAGAATCGAAACCCTTGGGTTTCATCGCTGAAACCCCAGTCGTCTATATGTGCTCTTCCTTCCTCTTCCATATATGTTCCAAATCAATTTCCCATTCCCGGGCCCTAGATATCATGTCATCTAGTGTCGGACAGGTGGAACAACTAACAATCTCCCTGATATCTGATCTCAGCATGTCATGGTACCGAGTCTTCCTCATCTCCTCGTCCTTAGTGTACGGGGGTACCAATAAAGATCTCTCTCAGAACTTGACGGTGACCTCCGCCACGGTCTCAGTCGTTTGTCGCATATTCAGGAACTCCCTCGCCAGTTGTTGCACATCAACAGCCGGTGTAAACTCCGTTCGGAACCAGGTCACAAAATCTGACCAGGTCGTGGCCTTAATGGTTGCGGCTCCAAGAGCATAACCAACCTCCTCCTACCAATCTCGGGCTCACTCCCTCAGACAGCGTGCAATGAACTTCACATTCGATCCCTCAGGGCATCTAATCACACTCAATCTCTATTATCCATCATCTTGCGACAATGCGGTCCTTCACCCCAAAGAATTCAGGCGCCCCACATCCCCTGAAATCCTTAAAGGAGAGAGTGCGGACTCCGTGCTGACTAGCAGCCAGATCGGCCCTAAAGATCCAGAGACAATCCTCCATCAACTCGATGACAGCCTCCTAGATCGACCTAAACATCATCGGGGTCACATCAAGGATTCCTATCGTAATCACAGTCGTGATGAACTCGTGCAAACCCTCATCAATTGGTTCGGTGCCCAAGCCGGAACCAGATCCAGATCGTGAAGCTCTTTCTCCATCGTGTATCACCCCCATGATGAAACATAATACATAAACAATTTGCATACGCACAAAGAGGTTCACACATACGAAGTTTCTTGAATTCATCAAGGCTTTCCTTGTCTTGTGTATAGATCATGTGCTTCCAGTAGTACGGACTCAATACTACATTCCACACCTATTGATGACGTGCCCTAGCAAGCACGGAAGAGTCGCGCCCGACCACGACAGAGAACGCTCCAAGGCGTAGCGTGCCTGACCGTCTAAATCCAATCCAGCACCCCTAAGAGCAGGGCGCTCCTGAAGAAAGGCTCGGCCCCGCCTGAGCCGCCTTTTGCTCCAAGACAAATACAACGGTCAAGAGACAAGGCAGATACTCCGAGCACTACTGACGCAACATATCATTAGCTCTGACAGATTCAGGAGCACGATCCACCAATTAGCGTCCCCTATCCTGTCGGGTCTAACGCCCTTGACCTGTACAGACTACCAAGGGAGTTCAGTATAAAAGGCTATCCTCGATGTCGTGGGACATATGTGATTCTCTACCAGTTTACTCTTACTCAACCCTACAGAATACCCACTGACTTGACCGTCGGAGCATTTTCCAGGGAGCTCCTCCCAGAGAACGGCTGTTGGCCTTTTTCTTACTGTGACCTCGCAGGTTTGCCGTAGTTACTCGGTCCAGAGGACGTAGATCATAGTTCAAGGTCACATCATTTGGTGTCATCCGTCGTGTGACGAAAAACAAAACAAAAGCACATCACCCATCAAAAAAATGGCATACGGCGATACAGGAGAAACCGGTGGAACGCCAAATAGCCACATTCGGTATATGGCGTCGCTAGAACAAACCCCTCCATCGTCTTCCGTGATAATCTCTGGAGAAACGTCAATCGAGGGCGGTTCCATGGTAGCTGTCGTACTGTCGGCCGAACAAGAACAACCAGCAAACGGAGGACAACCTCCCTCCACCACTATGTTAACAACGAGCGTCCTGGCACAGATACCTCAATTTCCATCAGTGCCAACCGGTGCGAGGACGTCGGCGGTGGGAGACCATGATGGGTTTTGAGCATCCTAACACTCCTAAGTGTACATGCAACCCTAGAAAACCTTGGATCTATGTTTGTCTAAAACACATGCAAAATACTTTTCCAAGGTTCGAAAACCTATCTAGCATACATGGGGAACTTTAATCATAAAAGATGGCTAGAATTACATACCTTGTAGTTGTTTTGATTCCTTGAAACCTTGAGAGCCTAGCACCCCAAGTATGATGCCTCGAATGTTTCACACAACACCAAATGCTTTGGAATGACTTTGAGAGAATGTAGAACACTTCTAAAATCGGCCTAGCCCTCTTTCTTTCTAGTGTAGCCTATTTTGGTGGATATCATGTTCCTTATAGTGTGTTACATTTAGGGTTACACCATGTAAACCCTAATGTAACATGACTCTTCATTTCCATGACCCATGGGTTTGTAACTCCCATGGAGCATCCATGGAGCATCCTATGGACCTTAGCCCAACTTGATAGCCCATAGAGCCTTTAGCCCACTATACAAGTTATGGATGATTTACATAATCAACCCATATATTTAATTAGTCTACTTTTGATCACTTAATTAATTCTAGATTAATTCTTGATCAACACTAATTAAATAATATTATTAATATATTAGAACTTATAATATATTAATAAACCATAAGTGTTATTTCTCTCATTTAGTCTATCCAAATGCATGATGCCATGCAACCCAAATGGACCATGCCGGGTCGGGTCAAGTACATACCAGAAATAGTTATGGACTTAGACACCTTATCCAACAGACCACGGTGTCACCCCAACTCTTTTCTAGCAATCGTCGACACATCCGGTGACAGTTATACAACCGGTGGTTCTCCAGATGCCACCACCAAACCACACGACCGTTGCACAACTGGTGGTTTTCTAGACACCACCACCATTAAACCAGATGGCAGGTACACAACCGATGGTTCTCCAGATGCCACCACCAAACCATACGACCGTTGCACAACCAGTGGTTTTCCAGACACCACCACCGTTAAACAAGATGGCAGGCGTGCAACCGGTGGTTTTCCGGACAACACCACCGCCAAACCAAATGACAGGGATACAATCCACGTTTTTCTCACCATCGATAGCGCAGATGGCAGGAGAAGCATCAGTAGCTCTCCAAATGCCACTGCTAGACCAGCCAGTGAGAAATCAAACAATGGTCTGCCCGACACCCTCATTTCCAGCAAATCTTCCTTTTCCTCCTACAATTCCACCATACCAACAGATCACACCTAACAACCTTCACAAACAAAGCTCGCCCATACTTCCCACCCAGATGCCAACATTACCATTTCCACACCAAGCATTCTATGGGCCAAAACCCAACCACTATTCTCCCTATAACAGCACGATTATGCATCCACACGCCATAGCTCAACAATACAACTCATAGGGTGCTCTCGCCATCCCAAACTGTGACATCCCCATTTTCACGGCCAGAAAAGACTGATTTTGTTTATGCTTTATAAAAATCAGAGTACCTCTTTTAATAAAAATGTTGCGGAATTTGTTCCCAGTAAAACATGATAAATATGTTATCAAAGCATTTCCGAAGAAAAGTATTTTTATTCATTTTAAAACATTTGGGGTGTCATTGTCAATACAGAAACATAAGCATAAACAGAACTTACATTTATTTACACTAGTGATCTACATCTCTTTTAAATCTCTCAGTGTAAAGTAGCTTCGTATCGACACCTGCGATACAAATAAACTGAGTGGGTCAGGTTGGGAAACCTGGTGAGTACATAGGGATTTCAATCCCACAATGTTATATCATATATGTAATTTAGAACTCACAAAATATACAATTTCACCATATATGTATAAGCAACTCTTATCCCACCCCGTCGATCGTCACAACGAGACTATCCATACTCTCAAACCTAAGTTTAACCGTTTTACCTAATCCATACTCCCGGATCAGAAACGAACGGCTTTACCTAATCCATACTCTAAGATTAATGACGAATGGTTATGTCTAATCCATACTCTCGGACTAGGGACGAATGACTAATCCATACTCTCGGATTAATGACGAATGACTATGCCTAATCCATACTCTCGGACTAGGGACGAATGACTATGTCTTACTCCATACTCTCGGACTAAGGACAACTGACTATGTCTTAATTCATAACCCCGAATTAATGACAGTTGACTATGTCCAATCCATACTCTCGGACTAGGGACAATGACTGTGTCTAATCCATGCACCCGGATAAATGACATATACTAAAGTTCTATTCTCTGAGAATAACTCACTTGTACTCGTAAGAAAATACTACCCAATATTCCTCATAATTAATTTTAGGTCTACCCTTTATCCTAAATCATCATATATAATCAGGTATGTTCTTTAACACGTATTTCAAGCAACATCAATTAACTCGCACATAAACATATAATTAATACTTCAATCAATACTTGTATTAAAATCATGTTCATGAAAGGGACTATGCACTCACCTGATACGGTGGTGACTCGGTACTTGGATAGCACTTCGTTACTCTTAAAACAATTTCCCTCGACAAAACCTAGTATCATTACCACTAGGGTTTAGTTCAATATTTACCGAGACTAATTTAATAGTCTAGCTGTTATTATTATTATATAAGCGTTAAACAACACTATATAACTCATAATAATAGCCCAAATAATTATTTTAAGGTCCTAATAATGTTACTATAATTAATTAGAAGCTATATTAAAAATAGCGTAGGCGTAGCTCACTTACAGCGGGTTTTTCGCAAAACCGGGCTTCGCTGGAGCAACGTTTTCCAAGCCGAAAGACCCTTTTTCTCGGGACTTCGAGAGCCTCGGGGCTTCCTTCGGGTGCTAGGGAGGTTCCCTAGGCTTTTTGGGGGGTTTGGGGGGTTAGAGAGAGAGTGTAGAGAGAGAAAGAAGAGGGTTGACGGGTGAGAAAATGAGGGAACCCGACACCTCTATTTATAGGGTGAAATCCTGACGGACTCGCCGAGTCGGTTCACGGACTCGCCGAGTCGGTGCCACGTGTCATCACCTGATGGCTTTCCTTGGGGAGAAAGCCTTGGCCCATATTCAGCCACGTCACCCCTTTTGTAGCAGCACCCTGCCGACTTCTAAACCCCGTAACTTTCGCATACGAGCTCCGTTTTCGACGTTCTTTTTTTCCATGCGTAGGTAAAAACAAGATCTACAACTGTTATTTAGACTCTGTCGGCTGATTCTCGACCGATCTTAAATTTAACAGTACGAGGAGATGAGACTGCTAAATGACCGCGAAGAATTCGTAACTCCTTCATACGGACTCCGTTTTCGTATGTATTTTTACCGTTGAGTTCCTATTAATGAGATATTCAACTCTCATTTAGGTCGCGTAAGCCAAAAACCGCTCGAACTAAAATTCGAGTTTCGGGCTGTACACTGCTAAGCCGAATCTTAGAAAAATCATAACTTCCTCATACGAAGTCAGATTTGGGCGTTCTTTTTTTGTATGTTCTCGGTTTAACATATACTACAACTTTTGTTTAGATCACTAAGGCTAAAAGTCGCTCCATCGTAAATTCACTATTTACGCTTCCCGGTGCCGTGCCGGTTCCGTCGCGAAACTTCGACGGGTCATAACTTCTTCGTTATAACTCGGATTTCGGCGTTCTTTATATCCCCAGAATCCTTGTTTCGACCCATTAAAACTTTATGTAAAGATATCGGGCTTATCTCACACTTTAATTTTGATGCTTATTTTTATCCTTTATTAATTATATCTTTATAATTAAGTAATAAGCACACAAATACACATAATTCACATAGAATTCAAATATTTCATCTTTATTACTTCAAACAGAGTTACAATAGTTGACCTAGACTATTACATTGTCTAAAAATGCTTAGCCCCGAAACCCGGGCATTACAATTATCTCCCCCTTAGGATGATTACGTCCCGGAATCATCAACGAAACAGGATTGTATAATGAATCCATACGTTATCTCTTAATCCTAGGTAATAACCGTAACTTCTATGTTGCTTCGAACGAGTATCTAACTCTTGGACTCCTTGACTGCAGGCGGTGCTTGATCTTGCACCTGCTCCCTATCTCACGTTAGACTTCAAATTATGACCTTCAAGTCACAATCTTGATCCTTACTGGAGACTCCTCCTTCTTCTTAACAACTTAAGATAAGTTGTTTGATTTCCACAATAGACCGATGGATCATGTTCCAATGCCTTCTCATCGTGTGTCGCAACGCTTAGACTCAGGTCTCTTAGAGTCAAATTCCGGAATGGAATATACTTTCCTTCATGTTCTAATGTGATATAATCACGTCCTAACATGTAGTATTTCTAGCTACAAGCTTCTTATTTTAACGGCGATTCGCGATACTTCTATTGATCGCTTCGATTATCTTTTATTTCAATCTTCCGGTTTAAGTCAGATGCTACATCAAACTTGGTTCTCTGAACCACGTAGCATGTTCATTTTAGTCAGACTCGATTTGATATGACCACTAGGGTCGGAATAACAACAATCTTCTTAGTCATTACCAAAACGACGGGTAACGACATACTTGAATAAAATGGTATCAATTACTAGCTTCTTGGCAACCTTGTGACTTTCCCTGATCTAAGTGTGAGTCCTGTCCTTCCGGTAGTATAGGCCTCTACTACCTTTCACACCTACTCATACTCGTCCCAAGTATTGTCTCGCAGTTTTCCAAGTTATCATCACAAAAACAATTTTAACACATAAAAATGTGTATAAACACTCACAAAATTTTCCCTAGATTCTACTAGGACTTCTTCCATGCGTATCTTCAATCATCAATTATGCTTCAGCTCGGTGGAAATGCCATACGATGGGTCAACTTCATGAATTACGCCAATCATTCCATCATCCTGCCAATCGAAGGTGTACTTCGGACGTACTATACTCCTCTAAACGTACTGCATGACATATATTCTAAAGGCAAGATACCACTCTTATGATATCTTCCGATAGGTGTCATTCACT